CAGTTACTGTCCAAATGGGACAAGCAGGACACAAAAGAAAGGACTGCCAAACCTTGCCAAGGCAAGGTAGGAAGGCCCTTCAGAAAATCCTGCTTCACAGAAAAGTCTGTCAGATATGCTAAACCTGTAGGCCTTGGGTGACTGTCCAGGCAGCCAGCTGTTTGTCATTTCTCACATTTTTTGGAAGTCACTTGCCTGTACTTCCTGCTTACTTAAGTAATATTATCTCCTTCTTGGGTCTCTGATCTAGTTGAAGACTTTATAGTTATAGTTTTCCTTGTTAACAAATTCAGAAAAGAAACTCACTAAAGTGTAAAATGTGTAAGTTTGAAAGACATCAAAAGATTATTTTGGGTTGGTAACACAAGTTAGAATAGAAAGTGAATTAGGTACAACACTTTGAACTAACCAAAATAGGATAGATAATGGAATATTTTCTCTGAATTTATCAAATATTTATTGACTGGACATTGTTAATGTAATTCTTGACTGTATATATTGTATATGCTTATTGTACTTATTGTATATAGTTTTTCTTATATAATTATAACCTTTTATTATTTTACACAAAAAGTGGAAATATGGTGATGTATTGTGTACCCTAATAAAATTTACCTGAAGATCAGAGAACAGAGACAGCCACTAGATTAGACATAGAAGCCAGGCAGTGGTGGCACACACCTTTAATGCCAGTATCTGGGAAGCACACACGCCGTTAATCCCAGCACTAGGAAGGAAGTGATGGCTGAGTGGAGAAAGGTATATAAGGCGTGAGGAGACAGGAACTGAAGCCTTTTCAGACTGAGGAGTCCTAGAGGTAGGACATGGCTGTGACTTGTTCCTTTGTCTCTCTGATCTTTCAGTGTTTACCCCAATATCTGCCTCTGGGTTTTTATTAAAAGACCTATTAGAAATTCATGTTCCAAAAGATGGTGGCATACACCTTTAATTTCAACACTAAGAAGGCAAAGGCAGAAAGATCTCTGTGAGCTAGAGGCCAGCCTAGTCTACACAGCAAGTTCCAGGCCAGCTTGGTATTTGAAGCTGAGGATGTGACTCAAATGGTAGAGTGCTTGATCTCTAGCAACACACAAAGCTGGCTGTAGTGGCATATTCCTGTAATCCCAGTGGTTGAGGAAAGCCTGGGTTCTATGATATTCTGTTAGAAAAAGTAGGTACAAGAGGGAGGGAGGGGCATGGGGGAACGTTATAATGCAGCAACTCTAGACAACAAATTTCTCATTTGTGAGGACTACGGGAATTTAAGTATGTTTTAGCCTGAATTATAATCTTAAGGTCTTCTTAGACCCTTCTTCTTTAAATTTCTTAGATTTATTGTATGTATATGGGTTTTTGTCTGCATGTGTGTATGTGTACTGTGTATATGCTTAGTGCCTGAGGTCAGAAGAGGGCATGGGAGTCCTTAGAGCTGGAGTTTTGGATGGTTTTGGCTAGAGTTACAGTTGTGAGCTGCATGGAACTGAACTTGAGTCCTCTGCAAGATCAACAAGTACTTTTAACCACTAAACCATTCCCCAACCCCCTTCTCTGTGTTTTAATCTTTTCTTCATATTAGTGACTTTTTTGTGTATGATGGTCTACAAGTGATTTAATTTTTAAGAAAACATTTTTACTATTTCTTATTGAAAATTTTATATATGTGTATGTGTTTTGCTTCAATCCTCTCCCTATTCCCTCTTTGCCAATTCCTTCCCTCTCTTTACCACTACTATTCCCTGCCAATTTCATGTGTTCTTTGACAAGATTTGTTTTTAATTATGTGTGTGGGTGTGTATGTGCACCTGAATATGGAAAACAAAAGCATGGAATCCCCCTGGAACTGGGTTACAGGTGGCTTGTAAGCTGCCCAGCTTAGCTGCTGGGAACCAAACTTGGGTTCTCTTCAAGAGCAGTATGTGTTCTTAACCACTGAGCCATGTCTCCAGCCCCCTGGTAAGTATGCTTTATACTTACCAATCCAAGTGAATAGTTGGATTCTTGGCACTTTCTATACTTCCATCTTCTCTAACATAAATATTTTTTAAATCCCTGCACACAAGTATGTTGTGTGACATTTTGATTGTGTTCTGACAAATAAGGCTTGCTTGGAGTCAGAGGACAGAGCCAGCCACTAGCTGGCCATAGAGGTTTGGAGGACTGTAGAGACAGCAAGTGGTAAGGCAGGCTGAGACAGCATCTCGGACCTTTTGGATGAGGAACAGAAGAGGTAGGAAGCAACTGGCAGCTGTTCCCACTTCTCTGATCTTTTGGGTTTTTGCCCCAATATTTGACTTCTGTTTTTTTTAATTGATGAAATTAATTAGAATAATGCAGCATGGGTATAGCTTTACTCATAGTTGTCACGACTTGAAAATCATCCAGATGTCCTTTAGTAGGTGAGCAAATGGCATATCCATCCAGTGAGATTATTATTCAGCACTACAAAGACATGAGCTGCTGTCAATCCATGAAGACAGAGGAAACCTAAATGCATATTATTGAGTCAAACAAGCCAATGTGAGAAGTCTACATTCTATGTGATTCTAACATGACATTTTGGAAAAGGTGAAACAAACTATGGACACAATCAGGTTTCCAATAATTGGGGAAGAAAGAAATTGACAGGCAGAAAGACATGGAGGACACTTCTTCATGTGACAATATAATGGTGGATAAAGTTCCTCATTTGGCACAGTCTCTATTGTGTACATCGAAGTGACTCCTAGAGCAGGGTTCCTGCAGCTCCAGCCCTCACTGAAGAGCTATGAGCAAACGATATCTGTTGGGGGAGGAGTGTCACTTTTCCTGTCTGCTGGTGGGCTGCCCATCCTCCAGTGAATGGGTCTGCACCTATATTTATGAGGGTAGCATTAATGAAACTCAGTGGGTTATTAAGTGGGGGGAGCTGGGGGTATGGTGACATACACTTTTAATTCCAGCACTTGGAAGGCAGAGGTAGGCAGATCTTTGAGAGTTCCAGGCCAGCCTGATCTACATAGCAAATTCCAGGCCAGACAGTTTACATAGTGAGACCTTGTCTCAAGAAAATAAAAGGGGGAAAGACATGAAAGTAGAAAGGGGAAGTTTGGAGGGGCTTTGAGCAAGTGGGAGAGGACTGTTGAGTCACTAAGATTAACATGTTACATATGTATATGAATTGTCAAGGAATACATTTTAAAAAATGATTCCTAATGTAATGAGAATCAACACAGGTTTCTCTGTTGTAACAAATGAATTACTTCCAACGGGAAGTGTTGATAATCAGGACGCTCTGCATCTGTGGTGGTAGAGAGATATATAGGGAGTCTACAACTTCCTCTTTTTCTGTGAAACTAAAACTTCTCTTTTTAAAAGTATGTGCATGTCTATAAATACATATAATGTCAGTTGTAAATTTTGTCATGATAAACATAAAAGAGAAATAATTGAAAGTAATTTACAACAAAATGTGCTCTCCCACATGAGGGTTGGGCCTGAAGAAGGTGGTCAGATCAATGCCAATGTATCTAGAAATCTAAACAAGAAACCCTCACTGAGCTCTTCTAATCCTGCTACTGTCATATGAATCATATTAAGTCAGTTCAACCTCCAATTATCCCATTTTACAGGCGAGGTAATAAGAGGCAGTTGCTAGGAAAGCCCAGAGTCATAAGATAATACTGCTGCCAATTTGAACCCATGCCCACAGTTTTCACTGTCTGTTCTACTTGCATCCTTTGACTGCCTAATTTGGGGTGACCGCCTGACTTTCAAAGAAGATCCACCCATCTTTTCATGACCCTTCCATACCACTGACTCAGGTGCCCTGGGAGGTGGGATACACAGTTTGTTTCTTTGGTGGAGTTGAACATAGCTGTGTATATAGAGGATAAGTATGAATGGACTTTAAAAAAGTGTTTCCCCAATCATTTTGAAATTTTTAGAATCATGGTAGGGAATTCTGAAAAGAAACACCCTCATATTTCCCAGTTTTCCTATCATTAAGAAAATTAGTATCAGGTGAAAACTAGAAGTGAAGATGTTTGGTATGTTTTAAGGAAGTTGGCCCTCCCTGTTGGTAAAATATTACATAGTAAAATAGAAAAGATCAGAGGCACTTGGTGTGATAAGCCAGGGTCAACACTCCATAATACACATCTTCATGCACAACTGGAAACTCATAATGGTAAATAGGGAAAACATTCTAGAGAGCAACAGACAAAGTAAAACAGAAGGCAGGAGTGCTAAGGACGATAAAGCAAGGGAGAGGGTAGGACTTGAATCAAGCAGGCAGGGAAGGACTGTGTGGAGGTGTCACTGGAGGAGAGACAGGCAGGAGCAAGCTGCCAAGTAAAACAAACTGTGCTCTTTGCAGAGGTACCACAAGTGAAAATGCCCTGAAGCTGCAAGGCAACTGATGTGCCTGAGGAACATGGGAGAGAAGGTCACTGTGGACTGTACCACAGGGAGGTAGACAGAGCACACAGTGAACCAGTGGTTCTCAAACGGTGGGTTGTGACCCCTTGGACAAACCTCTACCTCCAAAAAATACTTACATTACAATTCATAACAGTAGCAAAATTACAGTTATGAAGTAGCAATGAAAACAATTTTATGGTTGAGGGGGTCACCACAACATGAGGAACTGTATTAAAGGGTCACAGCATTAAGAGGGTTGAGAACCACTACAACATTGGTTGGTGTTTCTTCTCTCCACCCATCCCCAACAAGCTAGGGGCTCAATCCAGTTTAGCATCTCATTATTCAACCTATGAATGTACAGCAGAGCGATTCCTAAAGAGACTTCTCAATAAGGCACCACCCCAGTTAAGAAAATATTAGCAAATGATGGCTGCTGATAGGCTGCCCATGCTCTATCTATACACACACGGGCATTTAGCTAAACCCCCAACACCAAGGCTAGTCTAACATGTTAATTTATGAAAGTCAAATCATCAAGGAAGGCAAATGTAAAAAAAAACAAAAACAAAAAAAAACTCTGACAAGAAACTTCACTTGACCCAGGTGATCTTAAAAGTTTATTTCAAGCCTTCCTGGGGGTAAAGAAAATTCCAAAGGCATTATAACTGGGGTCAGGAGACAACATGTTGATTGTTTTTGACAGAGGTATTACTGGTGTCGGATAAAAGGGCCAGCCAAAGAAACACACCCTGCCCCTGAGATCAGAGCCAATTCACTGCCCCCTGAAACTAGAGTCAAAAGGTTAAAAAGGGCCAGTGAAAGAAACACACTTTGGCCCTGAAACCAGAGCCAAAGAAACACACTCTGTCCCCGAACAACTCAGCATGAAAACCAACCAATTCCTGAGCATGAAATCCAGTCCACTTCTGAGCGTGTCCAAGCTCAGGGATTGAAATCCTATCAATCCCCACCCTGAAAATCTTCGCCCTGGAAAAACTCTGCCCCTAAGAAGACATATATAAGCTCTGTGCCCATTCAGTTAGAAGCTGCCCTTTCTCACCCTGCAGAGGCAGCTTCTCTCTTGGATTCCTCCCTCCCACTAAATCTCTTGAATGAAGTTTGAGTGATGACCTTCTTTTGCTGGAGTAGACTGAGGCAGAGAAGTAACAACTTCGGTAGGAGCAAAAGCTGAACTACTACATTTCTGTGGGGAAATTTCCTTAGCAGAGTGGAGCAGAGATGTAATGGCTCTCCCAGAGAGAAGCAGAACTGCTACATTCCTGTGGGGGAACTCTCCCTCACCAGAACAGAGCTGTAAGTATAGCCTGGCTTCCCACAGCCAGGATACCTTTCCATTCCAAGCTATAGGTAATAGCCTGGCTTCTGACGGCCAGGAAATCTTTCTCTTCAGAGCTGTAACACTTGCAGGTATAGGTTGGCTTCCAATGGCCAGGATAGGTTTCTCTTCAGAGTTGTAACACAGGTATAGCCTGGCTTCTGACAGTCAGGATACCTTTCCATTCTGAGCTATAGGTATAGCCCAGCTTCTCCAGGAAACCTTTCTCTTCAGAATTGTAACACAAGTATATCCTGGCTTCCAATGGCCAAGAAACCTTTCTCTTTAGAGCTGTAACACTGACAGGTATAGCCTGGCTTCCCACAGCCAGGATACCTTTCCCTTCCCAGCTGTAGGTATAGTCTGGCTTTTGATGGCCAGGGTACCTTTCCCTCCAGAGCTGTAACACTTAGAAGTGGTCCCTTATGAAGTGTGTTACAGGTCCTGGTGTAAATGACAATGGGAGGTCCACTTACACTCTGAAGGTTGTGTCAATATATGTTTTTAGTGTGGTCTTTCTCTCTAATTTTTGAGACAGGGTCTTACCCTGTAGCTCAGACTAGCCTTGAATCGTGGTGACCCTCCTGCCTCAGTTCTTCCCAAAGGCTGGAATTATAAGAATGAAATGCCACACCCATTCCTGCAGTATATCTCTCTCAACAGAAGCACTGGATAAGCACAAATATGTTACATTCAACCAAGAATGCAAACACACCCACAGGTCTGTTAATATATGCAACAAACAACTGACAGAAAAGAAGGCTATCACTGTCATGTATACTAGACGGTTTTACTATTCAATCAGTTGGCACTAGACCAATTCCACCAACAGGATTCTCATCATCAGGAGTTACACAGTGTTCCATTGTATTTTTTCATGAGAAACTTTCTGTTGTATCAAATTGATGCAGTTTCTTCTCAGTATGTAGAAATGTCCTCCATAATCCCATTCAGCATCTTCTCTGAGGTCCTTTTCTGAGCAGTAATATGTGGCACTTCTACATGGGCATTTTTATTTACAATAATATACACTGCATTCTGTTTCATAGAGAGTGATTATAATAAGACATTTCCTCAATGAGTTTCTCCTCAAACCATTTAAGTGTGAATACTCTGATGCACACTGAGCACTGACTTCTGAACAAAGCCTTTTCCACAGACTAAACACTTGTAAGGTTTATCTCCAGTGTGTGTTGTTTGGTGCTTATTCAGATTGGACCTATCAGTGAAGGCCTTCCCACACTCAGTACACACATAAGGCTTCTCTCCTGTGTGAATTCGCTGATGCACTTGGAGCTGTGATTTCTTAGTGAAAGATTTCCCACAGTCACTACATTCATAAGGCTTCTCTCCAGTATGAATTCTATGATGTGTTACCAACTCTGACTTTTGTCTGAAGGTCTTCCCACATTCAGAACAGACGTATGGTTTCTCCCCAGTATGAGTTTTTTGGTGCTTACTGAGATTTGACCTACCACTGAAGGCTTTCCCACATTCAGCACACACATACGGTTTCTCACCTGTGTGGACTGGCTGGTGCACCAAGAGCTGAGATTTGGAGGTAAAGGATTTCCCACAGTCACTGCATTCATAAGGTTTCTCTCCAGTATGAATTCTTTGATGGGTGATGAAGTTTGACTTTCGGATGAAAGCTCTTCCACATTCAGCACATACATAGGGTTTCTCCCCCGTATGAATTTTCTGATGAACAATGAGTATTGATTTCTGATTGAAGGCTTTCCCACATTCATGGCATTCATACTGTCTCTCTCCAGTATGAATTTTCTGGTGTATATTGAGGTGTGATTTCTGGGTAAAGGCTTTCCCACAGGTACCACATCCATATGGTTTCTCTCCGGTATGAATTCTCTGGTGTGTAATCAGGTCTGACCTCTGAGTGAAGGCCTTTCCACATTTTGAACATACATAGGATTTTTCTCCTGTGTGAGTTTTCTGATGTGTGATGAGATTTGACCTGTTGGTGAATGCCTTCCCACACTTACTGCACACGTAAGGTTTTTCTCCTGTGTGAATTCGCTTGTGTACATGGAGTTGTGACTTGGAAGTAAAGAGTTTCCCACAGTGACCACATTTATAAGGCTTTTCTCCAGTATGAATTATCTGGTGTGCAATCAAGTGTGCCTTTTGGATGAAAGCAAGCCCACATTTCATGCATACATATGATTTTTCTCCTGTGTGGATTCTTTGGTGCACTGTGAGAGCTGACTTCTGGGTGAAGGCTTTTCCACAGTCACTACACTGATAAGGCTTCTCTCCAGTGTGAATTCTCTGGTGAATGATTAATTCTGACTTATAGGTAAAGGCCTTCCCACATTCAGTGCAGATGGAAGATTTCTCTCTAATTTGAATTTTTTTATGTGTAATGAGGTTGGAACTACTGCTGAAGATTTTCCCATATTCAGCAGATATACAGGGCCCCACTCTTGTGTGAATTCGTTGATGGACCTGCAGTTGTGACTTGGAAATGAAGGATTTCCCACAGATATTGCATCCATATGGCTTTTCTCCAGTGTGAATTCTTCGGTGTGCAACCAAGTGTGTCTTCTGGATAAAAGCTTGTCCACATTCAATACATATATAGGACCTCTCTCCTGTATGGATTTTCTGGTGCATCTTGAGTGTGGACTTTTGTGTGAATGCTTTGCCACAGTCAATGCATTCATGATGTCTCTCTCCTGTATGAATTTTCTGATGTATACTGAGGTCTGAGTTATATGAGAAGCCTTTCCCACACTCGCTGCATTCATAGAGCTTTTCTCCAGTGTGAATCCTCTGATGTCTGAAGAGAGAAGATACTTGGAAAAAGGATTTTCCACAGTCATTGCATTTATAGGGCTTCTCTCTAGTATGGGTTTTCTGATGTGTAATGAATTCTGGCTTCTGTGAAAATGCCTTCCCACATTCAATACATACATAGAGTTTTTCTCCTGTTTGAGATTTCATATGTATTTTGAACTGTGACTTCTGGGTGAAGATCTTTCCAAATTCAGCACATTCATATGATTTCTCTCCAATATAAAATTTTGGATATTGACAAGGTACTTGTTCATAATTGATGACTTTTCCACACTGATTATGGTCCCAAAATTTCTCTTCTGTTACAGTATGTTCAGCATTGGTATAGGATGAAATTTTACTGCATTCAGGAATCCTTTTAATTCTCTTTGGCCCATTATTTTCATTATGACTCTGTAAATATAAATTATGCTTCAGATCATTCCCAAATGAGTCGCACTGGTGGGGTCTTTTAGGGGGAAGAACAATGTATGGATTCACATGAATTATTTTTCTAATGGTCTTATATCCATAATGACTCTTTGTATCCAGTGTCTTCTTGATGAAAATAACATCACTTGCTGATTTGCTATTTGCTATTTGCTGATAGGTCTCTTTCTGGTCACCAATCTGCTGCAATTCTTCTAGAATGAAATATGAGAAAATATCATTTGTAAAACTACCTTCAATGTGCAAAGACGTTTTTTTCAGACCCCCCTGCTGTAAAGCTAACTTCCTTTCTGAAGGTGAAACGTGTTATTTTAGTTTGCAGTACAGCTAGCAGAGCCTACACAGCAGGGAACAAATGTCTTATCCAGGATGAACACAGAGAAAGGAAGGGTAGTAATTTGATGAAGAAGGTTGTGATGGACAGGAAACATCCAGGTACACAGTACATCCGTTAGAGGAAATAGCCAGGTAGCTATATTACATACAAGCAGATGTGAACAAACTAAAGCAAAGAACAAGGTACACAGAGCAAAGTGACATTTCTATAAACTGTTATATAGCTCAAATTTATTTTAGACTTCGTAACATGGATGTTTTTTTTTTGTTGTTGTTGTTTTTTTTTTTTTTGGTTTTTCGAGACAGGGTTTCTCTGTGTAGCTTTTGTGCCTTTCCTGGAACTCACTCTGTAGCCCAGGCTGGCCTCAAACTCACAGAGATCTGCCCGCCTCTGCCTCCTGAGTGCTGGGATTAAAGGTGTGTGCCACCACTGCCCGGATGATTTTTAAATGTTGCCATCATAGGGAGGGAGGAGGATGTGAGCCAAAGAGATAAAAGGGAATACCAACCCCATATCATAAGTCTACAACAGAAGATTATAATTAAATGCAGGCCCCCTCAGTAAAGTACAGTAATAAAACAGCAACAGCAACAACAGAAAAATCAACTAAGCAGAAAGGAAGACCCTCTCAAATGTGGACTCACACACACACAAAAAAGGAGGTAGATTAGCACACACTCTAGAATCTATAAAGCCAAGAAGACAGAAATAACAAAGGTCATCCAGGTAGAGGGCATTCAGTTACTTGAGAAGTCAATGTTAAGGGTCCTCAAGCAGTACAAAAAAATTTAGAACTTTCCCTAGAGGTCATCTTAAAAGCATTCCTAAGGTGCCAATCCTGCTTAAGACAGCTGAGATTTTCTCTCTTGCTTTGCTGAGGCTCCACCTAAATGGGTCTCACTCACTCACCTGCACAGTGCTGACATGGGCTCTCATTCCGCAATGACCACGTTTCCTTTCCTTGCTCCAGCATGAAAACCTCTGTCTTGGGAACTTGATATCCTGGTCACAGAAAATGATAAAGGACTGGGTCCAACTACTCATGTTTCAGAGCCCAGTCCATAGAGTCTTCTTGTTTAATGAGAATTTGTTCTTAAGTAATCACATATCTCTATGAACAGAATAATCTTTAGAGTACATAAAGGAGATAAAGTACTCTGGTTACTGGGCTAGAGAGATGCTCAGCAGTTATGAGCCCTTGTTCTTAACTTGAAGGCTTGGTTCACAGTATCAACATTAGGTGCTCACAACTGCCTATAAATCCAGTTTCAGTGAATTGGATGCCCTCTTCTGGCCTCCACAGGTACTGCACTTTCATGGTTTGTGCGCGCGCAAACACACACACACACACACACACACACACACACACACACACACACACAAAATAAATAAATCTTTAAAAAATCCTAGTTAAACACACACAAAAAACATGACATATTTAAGATACCTCATAGCAGGCATCCAACTAAGAAAAGAATATGCTCAGTGAGGCTTCCTTTCAGATAACAAGGAGACTCTGCTTACCTACTGAGCGCAGGTGACTGTAGGTCTCCTGCATCACATCCTGGTAGAGACTTCTTTGATCAGGGTCTAGGTGCTGCCATTCTTCTCTGCTGAAATCTATAGTCACATCCATGAAGGACACTGATCTCTGAAAGAGCAAATTCCTGTTCAGTGTAAACAGATCTGCAGGGTGTGGAAAAACATATTTAGAAATAAGGATTTTGTTTTTGTCTTTCATTCATTTGTAAAAGTCCCTGGAGAGTGATGCCAGCAAGATGGCCAAGTAGAAACACTAACACTCATCTCACAGCCAAAATAACAAACAAACTACTATATGTTGATGGAAATAGCTAAAGAAGATTCCTGGGGACATCAGAAGAGTCACAGATGGCCCCAGATGGCCACATGAGAGTACAAAAGGCAATGCCTTGTCACCACCCTCTTGGCCCCTAGTAGCAGTCAGCTCAGAATGAGGAGGGTAAGAGGATCCCAGCAACCATCATTACCTTGGGCACTGTAATGGTTAATTTTGTCAATGACACAGTTTAGAATCAGAGGAAGAAAGTATCAGTGAGAGACTGGATCGTGTTGGCCTATGGGAGACTGTCCTGATTATGTTAACTGATATGGAAGGCCCACTGCGGTCTGCACCATTTCCTAGGTAGGGGATCCTGAACTGCGTAAGTCCGGGGAAGGGCTGAGGGGGCCGAGCCTAAATAAGCATGCATGCATTCATTCTCTATGCTCTTGGCTGTCGTGTGACTAGCTGTTTCAAGTTTCTGCCACTGTGACATCCCCCACATAATGCCTGTAACCTGGAATTGTGAGCCAAATAAACCCTTTCTCTGTTATGTTGTTTTTGTGAGTGTTTTTTTTTTTAATCACAGAAATAGGCAATGAAACTAGAGCATCCTGATCTAGTTCAGCCATGTGATTTCTCCTGCTCTTTCTCCCACCTTAATCTCAGGGGGCTGAAGAACTCACCTGTGAGTTGCTTTGCTCAAAATAAACCTGTTCTTTTACTTTTTCAGTTCGGCTTGATCTGGCTTACTGCATCAGCGGAGAAACCTATTATTGGGGTACAGAAAGCCTATTAGGTAGGATATAACAGAAACTATCTAGGGGACAGTGGGCCACCAGACAGATGGGTCAGAGGTGATCTCTGTTCATTTTTACCTAAAGATATATTAATAAATATTGTAATTCTTTGTATATCATCCGTAAGATTCATTCATCACCATTTTAGGTGGTTTTCATCTTAAATTCCTATTACTAAATATACAGCTGTAAGCTTCTTCCTTCCTTCCTTCCTTCCTTCCTTCCTTCCTTCCTTCCTTCCTTCCTTCCTTCTTTCCTTCCTTCCTTTCTTCTTTCCTTCCTTCCTTTTCTTTCCTTCTTTCTCAAGACAGGGTTTCTCTGTGTAGCCCTGGTTGTCCTAGAACTCACTCTGTAGACCAGGCTGGCTTCAAACTCACAGAGATCCACCTGCCTCTGCCTTCTGAGTATTGGGATTAAAGGCATGCACCACCACCACCTGGCTTGTAGGTTTCTTTTGATTCTGAGTCAATACTTTCCCGCTCCTTTATTTTTAAATCAGAAAAGCAGCTGCTGACAGCTGGGCCTGGTACTATCATGTGGGCTTCAGTGTTGCTAGGAACTGGGTTGCTGGGATTACCTAGATCATAGTACTCTCCATGGTGTTACACACACACACACACACACACACACACACACACACACACACACGACCTCACAGGCAGTCAACATTAAAGAAGACTCACTATCTGGCCACTGTGGCAGAAAACAAAATCAAAACCTGTTGTGGGATATTCTGATCGCACTCTGACACTCTTGAGACTGCCAATAAAGTTTACTTTGAATCAGAGGCAGAGCTAGCTAATAGCAAGCCAAAATTAGCCACAGTGGTTTTGGAGGACTATGGACATACAGAGAGACACCGGAAGTAGTAGGAAGGGGCTGAGAGAAAGGCTCATCCCTTTTGGATAGAGGAAGGGGAGAGAGTGGAGGTCACTGACTGCTTCTCTGCCATTTCTCTGATCAATCAGGCTCTTACCCCAATACCTGACTCCTGAGTTTTTATTGATAAAGAATAATTAGAAAACGTTTCAAAGACTGCTCTGTGATCCTGTCTAAGCACAGACAGAAATCACAGCACTATTCAACTGCTAAGGCCATGAACATCCTCTTATTCCCACTAATACAAATGACTATTAGTTCTTAATCCTGGCTCCCCATCTTCTACATAAAAATGACTGAGATATCTAAAGCTAAAATTGCCCAATCGAGCAGAAATGTCATTAAGATTCAGCTGAGACTTGATATTTGTGGTCAAAGCCTGAAATGAGATCCTACTGCTTCTTAGAGATCAGAAAAAGAAGATATGTTTAAGAGAAGAATGTTGTTCACAAGATGCTCTGTATTTATCAATCATTTAAAAACAAATTTCAATGTTGTGTCCAGTATACTATTTTTGAAATCACAAGAAAAAATTGTTGTTTCCATATATATAATGAACAGAATAATCCATGGCAAATAATATAAACTGGTCATCTACACTCAGTAACTTGGGCATGTAGAGAATGAGGTGGGTTAACCACAGTTCATCTTTCCCATGAGTGTCTTTCAACATAGTATTTTTAGTGTTGTTTTTTAGTTCCCCATATATGAATTAAGTATACACATTGCCTATACAAAAAAAATTAGTCATTCCTGCCGGGCGGTGGTGGCGCACGCCTTTAATCCCAGCACTCGGGAGGCAGAGCCAGGCGGATCTCTGTGAGTTCGAGGCCAGCCTGGGCTACCAAGTGAGCTCCAGGAAAGGCGCAAAGCTACACAGAGAAACCCTGTCTCAAAAAAACCAAAAAAAAAAAAAAAAAAAAAATTAGTCATTCCTAACAAACTATCACTATATCACCAGAAGAATAAGACATACAACACTAATGAAAAAAAAAAAAACAACAAATGCTATAAAATGAATATTTAAAAGCCAGCAGTAGTGGCACATACCTTTAATCCCAGCATTTGGGAGGCAGAGGCAGGTGGATCTCTGTGAATTCAAGGCCAGCCTGGGCTACAGAGCAAGTTCCAAGCCAGTCAGAGCTACATAGTGAGACTCTGTCTTTAAAAAAAAAAAAAAAAGACAAAAATACCTAAAAGATTAAAAAAAATTTTTTTTTGAATTCTGTATGTATGAATGTTTTTCCTACATGTATGTCTGGTGCCTATAGAAACCAGAAGAGCAACTGATCCCCTGAAACTGGAGTTATAGACAATTATGAGCTCCCATGTGGGTTCTAGGAATCAAACCTGGGTCCTCTGGAAGAGCAGCCAGTATTCTTTTTTATTTATTTGTTTTTGTTTTTGTTTTTCGAGAAATGGTTTCTCTACATAGTTTTGGTGCCTATCCTGGATCTCACTCTATAGACCGGGCTGGCCTCGAACTCACAGAGATCGGCCTGGCTCTGCCTCCTGAGTGCTGGGATTAAAGGCGTGTGCCACCACCACCTGGCACAGCCATTATTCTTAACCACCAAGTCATCTCTGCAGCCCAAGGGCTTAAAAAGAAGAAATTTACTTATTTCTATTTATGCATGTGAGTGTTTTGTTTACATGTATGTATGTGCACTACATGTGTACAGTACCCAAGTAGGCCAGAAAAGGCCCTGGACCACCTGGAACAGGAGGGCCAGAGAAGGCTGTGAGCCACCATGTGGGTGCTGGGAAGCGAACCTGAGACTTCATGAAACTGGTGAGCACCTCTCCAGCCCCAGACTGAAGGGCCTGTGTGTGCTTGTACGGGCCACGATGGGTATGAAGCACAGAAGACAACGCTGTGGAGTGTGTCCTCTCTTTCCACTTTTATGTGGGTTGCAGGAATTGAATTTGGGTTTCCAAGCTTACAGGGCAAGCAAACTTACTCAGTGAACCATCTCACCGGCCCCAAACTAGAAATCTTCTAATTAAAACTTGGAATGAAATGTCAACTGTGGTAACAGGTAGCTCAACAGAGGGTAGGAGACAAAGTTGACATCATTTCCCAGAAAGGAAAGCAGCAAAGAGGAGCGAAACAGTGGAGGAAAATAAAAACTGGAGACACTGAGAAATGGACATTTCAAAAACTGAATAGAGGGCTGGAGAGATGGCTCAGAGGTTAAGAGCACCAACTGCTCTTCCAGAGGTCCTGAGTTCAATTCCTAGCACCCACATGGTGGCTGACAACCATCTGTAATGAGATCTGGCACCCTCTTCCGTATACATAATAAATAAATAAATCTTTAAAAAAAAACTGAATAGAGAGAATATTTGTGTTCTGTGTGGCAATTTGAGAAGAAACAGAGCCATTTCTTCAAAAACCCTACACAGAAGTAATTTCTAACAGGAGTAGTATCCACAGACAAAAGACAGAGACAGTAGGGTGACAAACAACAGCCCTTCCTTCACCACTGTCCTTCTTCACCACGGCCCTTCACCATGGTCCTTCACCACGGTTCTTCACCACGGTCCTTCATGTTTTTTCCTCTGAGACTATCTGCTTTTCCTATCTGCTTTTCCTCTGAGACTGTAGTGACAAATCAGAGGCATCTATTTCCTGGAGGAAGTCCCACCCCCAGGATTCCTCATGCTGACCTCACAGGAACTTCCAGGATCCTCTAGTGTCAAGGGTAAAGTTTCCTGGATTGAAGTGCAGTTGGTTGGCAAGGTCACTCTGGATCTCCACCCTGTTCTCTCAGTAATCAGAAGCTTAATGGTTCTCTATGAATTCAGTCAGAGATGTAGGGAAGAGGTGATATGGAATCTGGTGGAAGATCTTATAAGGAGCCCCACAGAGATACCAAAAAAACTGGAAAGATAAGTCCTTAATCCTTAGACATTCACCACTGAAACACATCTTGGGCATCTAAAGGTTCCCAAGAGCACTACAGAGCAATGGTTCAAAACATATGGGTCATGACCCCTTTGTGGTTGAATAACTTTTTCACAGGAGTCACCTAAGACCACTGGGAAACACAGATATTTACATTATGATCCCTAACCATATGAAATTACAGTTATGAAGTAGCAACAAAATAATTTTTGGATGGGGGTCATCACAACATGAGGAACTGTATTAAAGGGCCACAGCATTAAGAAGGCTGAGAACCACTGCTCTAGAGGAATTGTCAAAATACAATTAAAAATTCTCAGCCTCACTCCCACAGTTTCTGCTCCTGCAGGTCTAAGTACTTAAGAATGTATGCTTCTAACTAGTACCCGGAATGATGCTGAAATGTTATACTAGGGACCACACTCAATAAACAGTGCTGGAAGAGTAGAAAGTTTAAGAAAAACTGGGTCTGAGGAGACATCTTTGAGGGTAAAAGCACCTACTACCAAATCCGACAACCTGAGTTCCATCCCCAAGACATGGCGAAAGGAGAGAATTGGACTGTGCAGACTGTCCTCTCCCCTACACACACACACACACACACACACACACACACACACACACACCATGGCATGTGCTCATGCACACTAACACACACACACACACACACACACACACACACCATGGCATGTGCTCATGCACACTAACACAATATAAACACTACATAAATCCAAAAGAAATTTTAAGTAAATATCAAAATGTAAAGACAACACAATCAAAATAAGTAAACAATATGCCCGAGTGTACCCAAGACATTCATTCTGTGACTGATGCTGCTCTAACTGGCTACCACCTGGAAAAGAGCAAACTAGATCAACCATCACATGCTGTTCAGTACACAAACTCAGGCAGGACTGGAAACGTAATGTACTTTTAGACACCCCACAATTAAAAATATTTTGGAGTCTGTATTTGTGTAACTCTGTGCAAGGGGTTATGAGTGGTGCTATTTCATTGGGGAAACAGGAGCTGCAGTCTAATCACCCCAGATTAGAGCAACAACAGACAGAAATAGAATTTCACCTAAGTCCAAATTGGTGAGGCCAATGAGTTTATGGGGCTGGCTTACAGAGTGCAGGGGAGGGGTAACCGAAGGAGCATGGGTGACCCCCAAACAGCTACATCATATCAAAAGTCTCACCCCTTCATGGACGACAACCTCATGGAGGCTGCATCATGAAGTCCTGCCTTTAGTTAATCTTCCACTTCTTAAATATTGTAGCATCTCTCAAGACCACGTGCAGCTAGAAGAGCTATTCCTAGGGAATAGCAATAGCTCCACGACACTACCACAGACCTATCACTATCAGTTCTGCTCTAGTCATCAGAATTTGGAGCAAAGTCCAAGAGGGTATCTAGTTATGCCCATCCATTGAACAGAAGAGGAAAACTAAAGCTAGAAAGATAGAGCACACATTTCTGAGCAGACCATATTATATGATAAAATATGACATGGGTGGGGGCAGGAAGTAGCAACATGACTCAGGTGATAAAGGCACTTGCCACCAAGCCTGATGACCCAACTTTGCTCTCAGGGACCCACATGGTAGAAAAGAGAGAATGAATTCCCATGGGTTATTCTCTGACTTGTACACTTGTGAAATAGCAAGTCTGTGCTGCCCCCATACACAAATAGCTTTAATACACACACACACAAAAAAAAAATGTATAATATATAAATGTATAATATATAAATGTATGTGAATATATATAATGTGTGTATGGTGTGTGTGTGTAGGTGTGTGTATGTGTATGTGTGTGTGTGTGTGTGTGTGTGTGTGTGAGAGAGAGAGAGAGAGAGAGAGAGAGAGAGAGAGAGAGAGAGAACTGCTTGGAAGCTATAGCTCAGAGGCAGAGCATTTGCCTAGCATGCTTGAGGTCCTGGGTCTAGTCCCCAGTAAAAAAAAGAAAAAGAAAAAAATGCCACAATTTGAAATAAAGATATATATTATTTCATCATGAGACCAATAAGTTCTTTCTAATTAAAAAAAAAAACTAGCAATTGCTTTTAAAAAGCCAAGGGATAAAAACTGGACAAAAGATAGAAAACATGCAAAAAGGAAAGGCATTTGGGAAAATAAGCTCTTTTACAAACTGATGATGGACACTTGAATTGCCATAATATCCCTTGAGCTACTTTGTCATACCTATTACTAAAAATAGGTATAGCCGGGTGTAGTGGTGCATGCCTTTGATCTCAGCACTCAGGAGGCAGAGACAGGCAGATGTCTGAGTTCTAGGCCAGCCTGGTCTACAGAGTGAGTTCCAGGACAGCCAGGGTTACACAGAGAAACCCTGTCTCGAAACGCTCCCCCAAATACTCGCAAGTGGAGGGAGGTAGTAAGGGTGGGTAAGATCAAAATCCATTGTATACATATAGAGAATTTTCAAAGAATAGGTAAATGTATTATGTAAAAATATGCACAAGTGTTGGTAACAATATACTTCAAATATATGAGCAATATACCTTTCCCCACAACTAAGACAAAAAAAATCTGTAAGGTCATATGATATATTAAAATATATGCTTATTATATCACAATACAACTAATTAAAGAACGAATTATTTTTATGTAATAGATGTGACATTTATGAAAAGTGATTATGGCATAGACCATAAAGCGTTTTTCAACTCGAACACTACCCAGAGACATTATTTGAAACAGGAAATGCACTTTAAAATGATCCCTGATCAAAGAAAAGAAATTAAAAAAGAAAGCCACTTATTATTGAATAATAACAAAGAAAACTACATACCAAAGAATGAAAATCTTTTACATTAATGGTGGCTAAAAATTAATGAGCTAAACTTTCAGGTTAGAAAGCAAACTGATGACAGCCGCCACCATCTCACGGCTGGCACAGACCCTCAGTCACTCATGACAGTTCTTAAGGTCACTCACACCCCGCTACCCGCCCAACCTCTAATCTCCAAAACTCAGTGTCCCGTTATTGACAGAGAAACCCTCGCCACTGACGACCATCAACACAGCACTAACTCCTAACGTCCACACACACTGCTGACTCCACAGAATTCTAGTGGAAACCAACCGGAATCATCCCCGAAGACTTCTTGTTATTAACAGAATTAATAACAGAAATACTCAATAGCAGCAGCTCGAGCAAGAAACCATCTTCCAGGACCACTGTCACTTCCGGTCTTCAAAAAAAAAAAAAAAACCAAAACCGTCCTCTTGGGCTATTAGTATTGCGCATGCCCAGCGTTACCCGTGAAGCCAGCGAAAGCCAACAGTCGGCAAGGCACGCGCACACGCACACACTCACACTCACACGCATATGCACACTCACACACCCACACACAGAAACACATAGCTTCAAGAGCATTTGCATACAATTCCTTGAGAGGCCCGGGGAACATGGCCGCTCCCACAGATGCCTATTCGTGTAGGCCGCCATCTTTGAGGCTTATCCATTCCGTACAGCAGAGGAATCAATATCCCGCCGGATTTCACAGAATGAAATACAGAGTTGTCAGGCAGATCAGAGTGCTGTGGCCCTTGTCTGTGCATCATCCGAGCGGAGGAAGGTACTCGACCTGGGGTCATGAGCTCTGTTATACTTAGAAATCTAGTGGTCACGCTGAATACAGCGCCATCTGCTGGAAGAAACCGTAGAATACAGGGGATCCAGAGAAGAGGAAAATCTTGAGCGACTCTTGGGAGGAACCACTGGGAAATGAGGGGGAAAACCAAGGTGGTACAATCCGCTTTATAGAAAAATCATTCATGGACAAGATTGACAGTTCAGAATGGAAATCTGTTCCGAGGAGAACCCCCCAGCAACTCCAGGTGGCGTCAGAATCAGTATCACAAACAACTGGAAGAGTGTTAAAATCTTTAATGGGGCAAACTGTTATGCCCAGATTGTGACCCCCCAAAGAGACCACCGAAGACCTTGGATGTCCAGAATGCAACAGCAAGGTTTATTCTGTAAATACAAGTCTAGACAGGTAACTCATTCCTACACCCAATACAGTGAGGCAGGGAGGAGTTCCTCTTTCTTTGTGAGGCTGGCTATTTAAAGGCAAAACCCACAAGCTCTTCAGGGGGGTTGGGGGG